TGGTTCTGTTGGTCCCTGTTTGGGTATTTTGTGACCTTTCCTGTGGAGGTGTGAAGAAAGGTCAATTTACCAAGGAAATAATTCTACTTAGGCCCAGCTTGGTGAACCAAAGAATTTATTGAGGTTACTTATGAAAACATAATTACCTTGAGGGAACCAGGGTAATTTAAGAGCAACTGCATCACCAAAAAGCCCGTCTCAGCATGATTACAATTCCTGAAAGCATCATCACAGGTGTTCTCTCTGTCCACATGAAGACAGCTCTATGGAAGAAACTCCCTTTACCCAGCAATTGTTTACTGCTTATATAACTTAAAAAAATAAAGCCTTTCAAATCTTGTAATTGAATGCTTCTTGCACAGCCTAGATTTCATTAGCTCCTTGAGTCGAATGAGGTCCCTTTCCAGTAGTGTAAGGGTTAATTGGTTAATCTTGAATATCAATTGTTGGAGAGGTGGCTCAGCAGCTAAGAGGACTGACTGCTCTTCCAGAGGACCTGGGTTCAATTCCCAGAACTCACATGGGAGCTCATGACTATCTGTAATTTCAAGATCTGACACCCACAGATGTCCATGCAGGCAAAACACCAATGCAAATGAAATAAAATAAATAAATTACTGTTTTTAAAAAAGATTTTAAAACACTGTGAAAACAAATTTCTAATTGTATCTGTGAGGGATTTTCCTAGATTAGAGTAACTGAGTTGGCACCATTCACAAGTTATACTGAATAAAAATAAGAAGGCCAGCTGAGCAATAGCATTTCTCTTTCTCTGTTTTCTGTTTGTGTTGCAGTGTGACCAGCTCTTCATGCTCCTGATGACACACTAACCCTGACATGGTAAATCAGACCTTTGCATTGTGAGCCAAAATAAATAAGCCCTTCTCTACCTGAATTGCTTTTATCATGTATTTTCCTCAGCAAGGGGAAAAGTAGCTAAAACAAGGAAAGAACATTTTTTTCTTTTTCTTTTATTTTATTTTTATTAATTTATAGTTTATTCACTTTGTATCCCAGTTGTAGCACCCTCTCCCATCCCCTCCCAATCCTGCCCACCCTTCCTCTTTTTCTCCTATGCCCTTCCCGCAGTCCAATGATATCGGAGGTCCTTCTCCCTTTCCATCTGACCCTAGTCTATCAGGTCTTATCAGGATTGGCTTCATTGTCTTCCTCTGTGGACTGGTAAGGCTACTACCCACTCAGGTGTAGGTGATCGAAGAGCCAGCCCATGAGTTCATGTCAGAGACAGTCCCTGTTCCTATTACTAGGAAACCCTCTTATACACTGAGCTGCCATGGGCTAGATCATTGCAAGGGTTCTAGGTTACCTCCGTGCATGGTCCTTGTTTGGAATATCAGTCTCAGAAAAGACCCCTGTGCCAAGATTTTTTGGTTCTGTAGTTCTCCTGTGGAGCTCCTGTCCCCTCCAGGTCTTTCTATCTCCCCCTTTTTTCATAAGATTCCCTGCACTCTGCCCAAAGTTTAGCTATGAGTCTCAGCATATGTTTTGATACCTTGCTGGGTAGAATCTTTCAGAGGCCCTCTGTGATAGGCTCCTGTTCTGTTCCCTGTTTTATCCTTCTTCCAATGTCTATTCGTTTGCCTTTCTGAAGATTGAGCGTCTTACCCAAGATCCTCCTTCTTGATTAGCCTCCTTAGGTGTACAGATTTTAGTATGATTATCATATATTATGTATCGAATATCCACTTAAAAGTGAGTATATACCATGTGTGTCTTTCTGCTTCTGGGTTATCTCACTCAGGATGATCTTTTCTAGATCCCACCATTTGCCTACAAATGTCACTATGTCCTTGTTTTTAATTGCTGAGTAGTATTCCATTGTGTAAATGTACCACAATTTCTGTATCCATTCCTCAATTGAGGGACATCTCAATTGAGGAAGTTGTTTCCAGCTTCTGGCTATTACAAATAAAGCTGCTAACGAACATGGTTGAGCTGGTGACTGTTGCTTGTGTCAGACTGACAACGAAAAATAACCAGGATGTAGAC